ATTTGTCAGAGCTAATGTGAAGTGTGGAGGAGGCAGCATTTATACAATGGTGTGGTTGGGGGTGTGTAGGGATGTTGACGTGCTGGGGTAGAAAGGGTGTTGAAAGTTCAGGTTAAGTGACTGGAATGTGAGAATGGCAGAATAATGGTGTGTCTAACTGCCAAACTGGAAAGAATAGAGTGGGGAGAGAGGACATGGTGACACAGAATATAAGAAGTAAAGCTAAAAGAAAAGGAAGGAATGGGCGTGGATTCACAATCTGAAGGTGTTGAACTCAATATTAAGTCCAGAAGGGTGTAAAGTGCCTAGTCTGAAGCTGAGATGTTGTTTCTCCAGCTTGAGCTGTGATTTGCTGGAGCATTGCAACATGCCAAGGACAGACACGTGGGCGTGGGAGCATGATGCTGTGTTAAAATGACTGGCTTGCGCAGGGACCAGAGGTGTTCCGCAAAGCGGGTACCCAGTTGGCATTTGGTTTCTCCAATGTAAAATAGGCCACATGGAGTGCAGCAACTGCAATACACCAAATTGGAGACGAGATAGGTGAAATGCTGCTTCACCTGGTCAGACTGTTTAGACTCTTGGATGGACAGCGGTGAGGAGGTGAAAGGGCAGGTGTTGCACTTTCTGCAGCTACGTGGGAAGGGGGAGATGGTGTTGGTGGTTGAGCAATGGTCAAAGGTGCCCAGAGGAAACGGTACCTGCGAAATGCAGATGGGGAGTGAGGGAAAGACATGTTTGGTAGCGTTCTACTGGAGTTGTCTGAAATGGTGGAGGATGATCCTTTGAATACAGAGGCTGGTGGGATGAAAAGTGAGGACAAGGGGGACCACATAACGCTGTGGTGAGTGATGGGAAGGGGCAAGGGTGGAAGCATGGGTGATAGGTCAGATGCAAATGAGGGCCCTGTCAACTACAGTGGGTGGGAAATCATGGCTATGGAATGAAGAGGCCGTGTCAGCAGTGCTGTTTTGGAAGGTGGCATTATATAAACAGATACGACGTAAGCGAAGGAACTGGGAGAATGGGATGGAGTCCTTACAGAACATTCGTGTGGGAAGACCAGTTGTGAAGGTAACTACGGGAGTCAGTGTCTTTGTAATGGATGGCAGTAGACGGTTTATTCCTGAAATGGAGACGGAGACATCAAGGAAATGAAGGTAAGTGTCAGAGATGGACCATGTAAAGGTGATAAAGGGATAGAAATTGGAGTCCAGATGGGAGTATGAAGCAGCACCGAGAAAAGAGTTGTGGGAGGGGGCCAGTGTAGAACTGGAACAAGGATTGTTCCACATATTGGGACCCATGTGGGTGCCCATAGCCACTCCTTTGACTTGGCAGAAGTGAGATGAATTAAGGGAGGAATTGTTCTGTGAGAGAACAAGTTCAGCCAAATGGAGGAGAGTGGTGGTGGATGGGGATTGTTCAGGCCTCTGGTCAAGGAAAAAGCTGAGAGCTCTCAGACCATCCTGGTGGTAAATGGAGGTAAGAAGGGATTGGATATCCATGATTAGCAGAAGGCATTTGGGACTGGGAAACTGGAACTTGTCAATATGGCGGAGGGCATCAGTGGAATTGTGATGTAGGTGGACACGTTCTAGACAAGGGGAGAAAGGATGGAGTCAATGTAGAAGGAAATAAGCTCAGCAGGGCAGGAAAAGGCTGATATGATAGGTCTACTGGGGCAGTCCGGTTTGTGGATTTTGGGAAGGAGGTAGAAGTGGGCTGTCCAGGGTTGGGAGACTAAAAGATTGGAGGCAGTGAGGGGAGAGAAGAACTCCAGAGGTAATGAGGTTGATGACAATTGTAGCAACAATGGCTTGATGTTCAGATGTGGGGTAATGGTCCAGGGGAGGTAAAATGGTTGTTCATTTCATTCACAGTTTCATTATTACACAAGGAACAGGAGTAGGCTATTCAGCCCCTCGGGTCTCCTCTGCCATTCAATAAGATCATGGCTGATCTGCATATTCAGCAATAACTATTCAACCCCTGCTTAACCAGAATCTATCTATATGTGCATTAAAAGTATTCAAGGACTCCTTGATCTCCTGTTCAGAAAGAGTCCCAAAGGCTCTCAACTTTGAGATAAAACATTTCGCCTCTGATTTTTAGACAGTGACCCCTAGTGCTTGATCCTCCCTGATGAGGAAGCATTCTCTTTATACCTACCCTATCAAGACCTTTGAGGATTTTGTATGTATAAGTCAAATCACCTCATTCTATAAATTTCTGTGGATACAAGACTAACATGTCCAGCCTTTCCTCATAAGACAGCCCATTCATTCCAGATGTTAGTCTGGTACCTTCACCTGAACTGTTTTATTTCCATCCTTAATTAAGATGATCAATATTGTTTACGGCACTCCACATGTAGTCGCACCATGACCTGTATAACTGAAGCATTGCCTCCCTAAGTTTTGTATACATGTTCCTTTGTGATAAATGTTACCATTGTGTTTGGGTTTGTGAATTACTTGCTGTACCTCCATACTAACCTTTTGTGATTCATATGCTCAAACTGTCAAATCCCTCTGGATCTGAGTTCTGCAGTCTCTCACCGTGTAGATAATATGCTTTTAATTTTTTAAAAAATTCTTCCTGCCATAAGGAACAATACCAAATTTTCCCAGGTTATACTCTATTTGGCGATCTTTGTCCAGTTACATAACCTATCCATATCCCATTCAACATCTTCTTCACAAGTTGCTTTCCTACGTATCTTTGTGTTAATCTACTACGAACTCCCCATTCTCATTATCTAGACACTTGCCTAGTCATTTGCTTTTTAATCCCCATAGAAACTTTTGCAACCTGTTTTAACAATTTTCTGCAACTTTGCTCTCAATGCTCCAATTTCTTACTCCTGGTAAATCTTTTGGTCATTCGCTTCTGTCCAATACCTAAACCATCCCTCATCTTTTTGCAGTTATCTGTTTTTTCTTTAACTATTGTAGTTAACCATGAATAGTGGATCTCGCCTGAGAATATTTGTTTGTAGTAGCAATGTACTTATTCTGAATGTTCTGAAATATTACCTCAAATATCTGTCACTGCTTCTCTAGCGATCTATCCTGCAGCCTAGTGCCCTAGTTCACTATAGCTAGCTCAGTTTCCATGCCCACCTAGTTGTCTTTATTTAAGTTTTAAATATCAGACTTAGACCCACTTTTTTTGCTTTCCAGTTGAATGTAAAATTCAAGCATATTAAGTTTGCTACTACCTAGAGTTGTGGCTTATTCTAATGTCATTAATTAATGCTGTTACAGTGTGTTTTGCTCAGTCTTTGTATTGAGCCTCACTTTTCACTGAATTGTTCAAGTATAGGAACATGGAAACCTCTTTTAAAACACTCAGCATCATCAACCAGTAATCCAGAGAAATGACTGTGAATCCCAGAGGCAGCTGGAAGAATTTAAATTAGATTAATTAAAAAATGTGAAATAATCATAAACTACCAAACAAATAAAGAAAAGTCCCATCCTTATCTGGTCTGGCTTATGGGTGGCTTCAGACCCACAGCAATGTCCTTGGCTCTTAACTGCCGTCTGAAAAAGTCTAGACAATCACTCAGTTGTTGCAGCTTGTTGTGAACATTTATTATAAGAATGCAATCATGTATTATGAAGGTCATGGATAGGTTGTAAAGTCAAGATCTTGTTCCCTAGGATAGGGGAATCTATAACTAGAGGGCATAGGTTTAAAGTGAGAGGGGAAAGATATAAAAGGGGCCTAAGGGGCAACTTTTTCACGCAGAGGGTGGTGCGTGTATGAAGTTAGCGGTCAGGGAAATGGTGGAGGCTGGTTACAATTACAACATTTAAAAGGCATCTGGACAGGTACACGAGTAGGAAGGGTTTAGAGGGATATGGACCAAATGCTAGTAAATGAGACTAGATTGGTTTAGGATATCTGGTTGGCATGGACAAGTTAGACTGTAGGGTCTATTTCTGTGGTGTACAACTCTGACTCTATGCAGACTGCCAAGCATTGATTTCTATATGCCGAGCCAGGACAAATTTGGAAAATCTTCCTTCATAACATTGTTGGACGTCTGCTGATATCTTGAGCTGTCCAGCAGAATATTCAAGCGAAAATCTGACATCTTGGACCCTGCCATTGCAACCCTTGGGTTTGTTGTTTTGACCTGGCAGAGCAGATCCATCAGAATGACTGCAGACCACCTCTGGGGCCCTTACATTTAATCCATCTGAAATTTATAAGAAGCAGACCGAGGATTAAACCAATCTTCTTTATAGCCAGGATCATGGATGACTGCAAATTGATGCACAATCCTTAACCCACCTCATCTTACTGTCTGCAACAGCTCTCCTCTCGCATCAACTCCTGTACATTAAACCCCATGAAGCTGTCAGCTCAGTGCACGTCAAAAACATCATAATCATTCAAAATTCAAAGTCTCTTGGACCGTAAGATGTGACAGCAGAAGTAGGTCATTCAGCCCGTCAAGTCTGCCCCAACATTCAGTGAATTCATGACTGATCTGATAATACTCTATTCTTTAAAATATGATTTGGGGCAAACTTTCAAATGCTTTGTCTAACTTCCCTAAAGTGGGTTAATGTAATTGCTCTCAATTTTCCCTCCATTGTGTGGTTTCTTAAGACATTACCTAGCTTGAAAAATGTTATGGGTAAATGTGTGTTGTTACTGTTGCATGCACTTGCACTGGAGAAACCAACTTGTCTTTGAACTTGTCATTCATATTGCTGAAATATTTCCTGATCCATAATTTCAAATCCGTCTAAGTAATAATAATTTCTAGGCCTCAGTTCATGTTATCTTACTGGTAATGGCTTTCTTTGTGATCTGACTTAAAACGTGATCATGTTGAATTAATTGTGTAAAATGGGCTCATCAATCAGTCCTGAACTGGAGACCTACAAAGACATCTCTTGTTTTTTTTATTTTGAGGTGTTGTTAATGTATCTTTCTGTGCTGGCACCAACTGAAGAGTCACCTTCCTTTTTTGTGATCAGGTGGAATGAAGGAGCAGGACCTCATGTGCATCAAACTTCACGGCGTGAACCGAATAGGGTTGAAGAAAATCATTGATTTCATTTACACTGCAAAGCTTTCCCTGAACATGGACAACCTTCAGGATACTTTGGAAGCAGCTAGCTTTCTGCAGATTTTACCTGTCCTGGATTTCTGTAAAGTATTTCTTATATCTGGGGTAAGATTTTTCTTTTGGACTTTTTCAGTACTAAATGTTCCATCATCCACATATACTTAGATGGATTCCTAGAATTTTGTATGTTAATATTGGTAAACAAATTGATTTTGAAGATATCTCCAGCATTACATTGTGGTTTTGTTTACTTATGAATATAGATCGTGATAATCAGTTGCTAACTATTAGCCTTTTACAAGCACTTTGCTGCAGTTAGTCTTGAAAAATTAGATCTATGACCACTGTTCAATTGTAATTGCTTTAACTTCATTATTCTTTCGAATTGAATATCATCCACATTTCCACGCTCTTTCAGTATGCAGCGTGTAGCTTGTTACAACAAAATACCTGTGGAGAAGTTGGGTACAATGGCTCATTAGGCACTGACTTTTTATCTGCAAAGTCTGGGTTCACATCCATGATTGCCTGTTGGTATGCAAGTCTCCCTGCCTGATTGGTGGGAAAGCTCCAGTGTGTGAAATTAGATTGGTGAGCCCGCTGCATTTACACTGTGGGGCCATGGATAGCATGAAATTGTCCTTAATTAGGAACCTAACCATGGAAAGAAGAAGCATGTTAGATTGAGAAAATTAACTCAGCTGAAGAGCGTTTTTCAGAAGGGTAAAGAGAGTTTTACTTTGCTATATATATCTACCTTGGAGGTGACACTGAGTGGCTGAATGAGAAACGCTTTCCATTCCGCAACACCAATATCCCTCACCCTGATAGGATTGAAGGAAAAATAAGGGCAAGGAAGAATAACATTTTAACCAGATGCTTAATATTGAACTTGTTATTTCTGACACTTCTTAGGTTTCTCTTGAAAACTGTGTTGAGGTTGGACGAATTGCAAATACTTACAACTTGACGGAAGTAGATAAATATGTGAATAACTTCATTCTGAAGAACTTCACTGCACTGCTAAGTACTGGTGAATTTGTGAAACTCCCATTTGAGCGCCTTGCCTTTGTGCTTTCAAGTAACAGCCTCAAAAACTGCACGGAACTTGAACTTTTCAAGTCTGCCTGTCGTTGGTTGAGATACGAGGATTCACGGATGGATTTTGCCTCAAAGATAATGAAGAACATTAGGTTTCCTCTGATGTCACCGCAGGAATTAATTAATCATGTTCAAACGGTGGACTTCATGAGAACGGACAATGTTTGTGTCAATCTGCTACTAGAAGCCAGTAACTATCAGATGATGCCCTATATGCAGCCTGTTATGCAGTCTGAAAGAACCTGTATCCGTTCAGATAACACGCACTTAGTAACCTTGGGTGGAGTGCTGAGGCAACAGCTAGTTGTGAGCAAAGAGTTAAGATTATATGACGAAAAGGCCCATGAATGGAAATCGCTCGCTCCAATGGATGCACCAAGGTACCAGCATGGCATTGCAGTGATTGGAAACTTCCTTTACGTTGTAGGTGGGCAGAGCAATTATGATACAAAAGGAAAGACTGCTGTTGACACCGTGTTCAGATACGATCCTCGGTACAACAAATGGATGCAAGTAGCGTCTTTAAATGAAAAGCGTACTTTCTTCCACCTAAGTGCCCTGAAAGGTCACCTTTATGCAGTTGGTGGTAGAAATGCAGCTGGAGAATTAGGTAGGTATTTTCTTTTCCCTTCATGTTAATTCTAATCAGATTCTAATATCCAAACAAGTAGCTATATGTGTATGAAATATCTGATTATGACAGCTCTCACCTGTCCTTTTGAACTACAAGGTAGAAAGTTAATACGATGATAAGGATCTAGGATCTCCAATCTACTTACATGTGGTGGGAAATAAATTGCACTGATACTAATTTGCTTTAAAATTAGATAATGTATTAAAATGGAAGTAGTTTGGTTAGGTGATGGAAACTGCCTGGATTTTCCATCAGTTGCTTGAACTGGGCTAGCTCCTCAGCTCCAATAGTTAGTTGTGTCATTCTTTAATGAAGTTTAAAAGGTTTATTGGATTGTCTTGTGTATTCACCGTGTTTAATGTATTGTGACGTTTTTGTAATTAGATTGAATGTTAATTTAAACAGATGGTGCCATTTCCCCAATATTAGTAACTCCCTATGAAAAACATAAATGATGTAACTGGCTGAGACAAAATTGGGTTTAATTGGTGAGGTATCAGAAGCCTGAAAGTCTTTCTGGAAAATCATGCCCTGTTGTGTTTCAGTGCAGTGGGTCTGAGCAACATCAGCTTGTTCAAGCTCTTTTCAGATTATAATATGTGTAACTGCTCACCTGGGAAATATATTTGAGAGATGTGAATGGTACTATTTTGGAGCTGTTGTCTACCCTTAAGCAAGCTGGATGCTTTGTTACTATCCACTAATAATGCCAAAGTTCCTAAACATGGTGAGGAATTTCGCTGAATGGATTGCACAACCTTTTGAAATTCAGTAGAGTGAGATGCCCATGGTGTTCAATACGTTGCCTGTTCCAAATGAACACTCAAGAAATTCAATAGATTACTGAACTATGTCATCAAATTAGTAGAATGAAAGTTGGGGAACTTCTTGATCAAACTGTAATGTGCCCTAGTCAGAACTCTGCTCAAAACTGACCGGTTCTAGTTGTCAAGATATAAGATTCAAACATTGGAGGCAATGAGAAGAATAACCATGAAATTTAGAGGTTTGAATTATGAAGAAAGATGGGAGAAATGTTAATCTTCAGCCCTCAAAGGATATTATAGATGGATATAGGAGTTGTTGAATATGGTAAATCCACAGAACTGCTTGAAATTAAATAGTAGGCTTAGGAAAAATAGTTCAAAGTCATAAATGGTTAGTTTAGGATTGACAACACAGCATTCAGAAAATGATCAACAATAATAGAAACAAGTTGCATTCATGAGGAATCATTTAAATAGGAAAGCAGCCCAAGGCGCTCAAGCGGCTGAATGGCTGCCTTCTCCTATTTCGTATGCATTTGTGTTCACAGAAATGTATTCGAACAGAAGTGCACAGTAATTCAAAGGTAGAAATATTTTGGAGGAGTGACATAAAAACTGGGCTTGCCAGGTGGGCTTTAAGTATCATTTTAAACGGGCAGAGAAAGTTGAAGGAACAAAGGGGTTTAAGGTATAGGGTTTACTAAGTTAAGTGGCATGGATACCAACGATGGAGCAAAAACAAGGCAGACTTGGACGAACTTAGAGTCTTAGGACTTCTCTGGAGCTCAAAAGGGTGAGACCATGTGGTGATTAACAATGAACTTTTAAAAATGATTGTGTTGGTCATCTGACAACAAATATATATTACTTCCCATAGAGCTGATGGGTAGATAGGATTTGGTATGGGATATGATGTAGATAGAAAAGTTGAAGTGAGCTGAAGCTTATGGAGGAAGGAGGGATTAGCTGTTGGCAATCAAGTCTATAGTGAAAAAGGCATGGATTAGCGTTCCAGTGACATATGGGCTAAGGCTGGGCATTGTTGAAAAGGCGGAGACTGTTGTCCTCTTCAATGGAGAGGATTTGTCACAAATGACAGCTTGGGTGTTGTGGTGAAAATGAGCTTAGATTTGGGTGATGCTAACAAATTTAAGAAATTTGGAGTCAAGGTCAGAGTTTGCAAAGTGTAAGGGGTAGTAAGAGTCACCATTACCTTTTCTCACACCTAATAGTGCTTGTAGCAGATAAAGCACGTGTTCGCAGCTGGTTCTGTAGCTGGATTTTTCCTGGACAAGTCACTGACCTGTCACCCGGAGGCTTTAGCTTAAGGGGTGACACTGCATGAAGCATGGCTGATCAGAACACATTTTCTTTCGTTCTTTCGTTCTTTCTTTCCTTCTGCCTGCCTGCCTACCTACCATAGTTGTGAGAGAAGGATTTGCAAGTTAGTTATCAATTTGTTTGACCACCTTATGAATACATCTTTCGTGGTCATCAAATCTTAGGGTGGGACTGAAAATGGAGCCTCTAGCTCAGTTAGGAATGCTACCCACTACATCACAAGACCTCCCCATCACCACAGTGTTTAAAATAGAACCGATAACGTAGACAGATTTTGTTAATGGACAAGTTTTGTCACCCATGAGGCATGCTTCCATTCCAAGTCATGATACTAGTGCAAATCATCCAGAATAAATGAGATGACAGAGACCCATTCAGAAGTAAATGGATTCTCTGGCAGAAATGACAAGGGTGGCAATGGGGCTTGGTGTCAATCCATTGTTGGGGTGGTTGGGAATAATAGTGGATAGAATATTGGGACAGGGAGAAGGTTGGTGAGATTATTCCTCTGTGGATACACTGACCGGGAAAGTAAGTGAGAATGGAATAGAAAAGTTGAGATTGCTGCTTGTTTCGAGGCAATGACTGTTTTCTCAAGAGTCCTTTGGAAAATGTAGAGGATAGCTGTGAACTTGACCAGAAGGCTTTCAAGCCTAAAATGATAGTCAGAAGACAGGAGTATTGACGGATTAGGAAAGAGAAACCGAAGGTGATAGGGAGGTTTGAAGCTTTTGAGAAAGAAGAGAAGCAGCACCAAGTTTTGCATCTAGACGGGCACTCAGTGAGTTTTCATATTGCGTCGTGCAGGAGAGAACTGTGGAATTTAAGTATTTGGTGAATTTGGGGTGACAGGAGCAGAGGTGGGACAGATTAGGACTCAAGGGGTTTGATATATGGAGGCAAGCTAGGGTATGAAACTGGCACTTTGTCTTACTTTGTAAAAACAAATGCAATGCTGCAAAAGTTATTAAGAATGAGCAGGTAGTTGAGATACTAGTTGGGCATAAAAATGGATGAAGAGGTGGTGTTAAGAAAGGCTGACTCTACTGGGACAATGAGGCTTTAAGAAGTACAGGAGAGTGTGGAGGCATTGATCAATACCTTCCAATCCTGCACTGGAGAATGGTCAAGATTATTTCCTTACTCATAAAAGAGCCTAAGGATAGGCCTCACCAATGAGTTCAACCTTAATGGTGCAAAGCCTTGAGAAACAATAATCCCTAGAGAAAATGAACTATCACTGCACAAATTTGTATTTAATTTGGAAAGTTAGCCTGGATCTCTGGTGAGGCAAAAGAATGTGTTGATCAAGGTAGTGCAGTTAGGATGTGTGTGGCCTCCTAAAAGGTATTTGATATCCTGTCATATAACAAACCTGCCAGCAAAGTTGAACCTCATGGAATAAAAGTGACGGTAGCAGCATGGACACTAAATTGGCTAAATGACAGGAAATGCAGAGTGTTAATGAACAGCTGAAGAAGGGTCACTGGACCTGAAACGTTAACTCTGCTTGCTGTCCACAGATGCTGCCAGACCTGAGTTTTACCAGCAATTTCTGATATTGTTTCTGATTTCCAGCATCTACAGTTCTTGGATGTTTGTTTGAGTGGTGAGTGGCTGCTTTTCAGACTAGAAGAGGGAATACAATGGGATCTCCAGGCTTTTCCTGATCTACATTAAAGACTTGAGTGTACAGGGCACAACATTGCATTTTGCAGAGAACATGAAACTTGTAAGTACTGTGAAAAATCAGAAGGATAGAGGTAGTCTTCAAGAAACAGGCTGATGAAACGAATGGCAAATAACAGGTGAAAATTCACTTCGATAAGTGTGAAGTAATACAGTTTGGTAAGAAGAAAGAGGAGTAGTAATATATGATAAGGAGTATGCAGGAGATCATTAAAAATGATACAGCAGGTTGAGAAAGTGGTTTAAAAAAAACGCTCATGGAATCATGGCTTTATAAATAGAGGCATAAAGTCCGAAAGCAGGTTACTGCATGTGGACTTTTATAAAACCATAGTTGAAGCACTGGATTCAATTCTGAACACCACAGTCCAAGAATGATGTGAAGACTTGAGAGAGGATGTAGGAAAGATTTATGAAGCTGGTGTTAGGGGTGAGGGAGTTTCAGTTACTGGGTTTAATCTGGGTTAATGAGAGAAGAATTATACCAACATTTATTGCCTATCCCTAACTGTCTGGAGAGCAGTTAAGAGTCAACTGCATTGGGTCTAGAGTTGCATGTAGGCCAGATCTTATAAGGACATAAATGAATCAGCATTTTTTAAGACAAAGTGGTTACATGTTTGCCATTAGACTAGATCTTTATTCCAGATTTTAGTTGAATTCATATTTCACCACTTGCCGTGATGCTGTTTGAACCTATGTCCCCAGAATATTCGTTTGGATGACTAGTCCAGTGATAATACCAGTATGCTGCTGTGTCAAAGGAGATTTAATATTGCAATTCAAAATCATAAAGAGTCTAGACAGATGAAGAGAAATTGATCTGGTTGAAGTGCCAAGGACCACTGGACTAGATTTAAGTGATTTGCAAAAAGGCAACAAGACAAAAAAGCTTAAGCACTGAGTCCTGAAGATCTGGAATGCAGTACTTAAAAGATTGGTGGGGGCAGATTCAGTTGTGGCTTTGTAAATAGAATTTCAATGAGCACCTGAAGGGAGAAAAATTGGAGGGCTATGGAGAAATGTCAGCTGAATGCGATCAGCTAAATTTGCTCCTGCATAGGACCAGTATTGATTCAACAGGCCAGATATGCCAAGATGTTGGCAGATAAAAGTGCAGTGGTACTTTCTCAGTGATTGAGTGCCATGTGGATTTTTTTGCCCTTTGCTGAAAGTCTA